GATAGAGCTTACAGCTCCAGGTAGTGGTTTCGATAGCGACCTTTTATCTACCATTATTCAGTGTGCACTTGTACAATGTATCACGAAACCGATACATATTGATTTCAATCATGATCCGTCACTGCTGGACCTCGCCGTCACCCACCACTGTGAGGATGTCTTTGATATTCAGCAACTTCCCTCACTAGTGAACAGTGATCACGTTGTAATTCACTTTAAGTTTAGGACACATGGTATACAATTCGTATCTGTTCCACCCCATCCCAATATCTGTCGAGCCAATATTCCGGCGATCAGAAACTGTGCTATCTCGACTGATTGGTCGGTCGACGCGGATGGGTTGATCGAAGATGAATGGAATAAGTTTAAGGCTACATTCGAGTCCGTAACGTCGCCGTATATCCCATGATCAGCACGTAAGCTATCAAATTGCCCTCCATGGGTTAATAAGGAAACCCGGAAGCTGTTAAAGCGTGGGAAACATTTCTGAGACTTATTCTTCTTGACAGGTCATGAACCATTTAAGCGTGAGTACCAAAAGTTCCGTAATATCTGTAAGAAAACCATAGCCAAATCCCGTACCACTTACGAACGACAGTTAGTACATGACAGTCGTACTTGTCCGAAACGATTGTTTTCGTATGTTAAACGGCGGACGAAACGTAGTGATGGTATTCCCCCGTTACTGTTACACGAAAATTCAGAATTACTAGCTGAATCAGATCGAGCAAAAGCTGAGACTTTTTCAAACTATTTTAGCGAATTCTTCTCTACGTTTATTTAAACAAATACTTGTCCCACTCACACCGAGATACCAACCATGGAATCTGTACAGGTGACTGAGGAAACTGTCCTTCCGTTGATAACTAACCTCAAACCTGGTAAGACACCGGGCCCTACGGGTTACATCCACGGTTGCTGTCATCTCTCGCGGACATTATTTCCAAACCGCTCGCGAAACTCTTCGACATGTCCCTTTCACTCGCTCAACTCCCTAGAGATTGGAAGGACGCTATAATCAGTTCTATATTCAAGGACCGTCAGAGACAGATAGTATCTAACTACCGGCCTGTTAGTCTAACTAGTATAGTCGTTAAGTTACTTGAAAAGATAATTCGGGTTAGGTTGCTAAGCCACATAGACTTACACAACCTGTCGGCTCCTGAGCAACACGGATTTCGTAACAAGCGTTCATGCTTGACTAACTTGCTTATTGCGAGGGAGGATCGGACAGCAGCCCTAGATAACGGTCTGTCTGTCGACGTGATATTCATAGATTTTAGCAAAGCGTTTGACAAGGTTTCACACGTAGGTCTTATGCAGAAGCTCACGAGCTTCGGAATAATAGGTACTGTACATGCGTGGATAGGAAATTTCTTATGTGACCGCAGACAGAGAGTGAGGGTTAACGGAACAGTATCCGATTGGAAGCCGGTCAAAAGTGGTGTACCCCAAGGCACCATCTTAGACCCCCTGCTCTTCCTTCTCTACGTTAATGAGTTACCGCTGTTACTTAGGTCGTCGACATTATTGTTTGCGGATGATGTAAAAATCTGGAGAACAATAAAAAGTGCGGCTGATCATCTGGATCTTCAAGCTGACTTAGACGATTTAGTTAGATGGGCTTGAGAGTGGGGCTTAGAAATCAATGCTCGGAAGAGTGTGCTAATGCAAATCGGTCACGGTAATAGTTATCGTTACACTATTGAGGGTAAACCTCTTCCATGCGTTCAAGAGCATAAAGACTTAGGAGTAGTATTAAGTTATGATTTAAAAACAACTACGCATTGCAAAGCAGCCACTGTCAAATGTCTTCGTGCGTTATGCTCACTTCACCGAGCGTTCAAATCTTTTGACGAGGAAACGTTTCGAATTTTATATCCCACCTATGTAAGACCACACTTGGAGTACTGTATCCAAGCAGCTAGCCCGTGTCTGGTAAAGGATACTAACTCCCTTGAGCGTGTCCAGCGTGTGGGAACGAAATTAGTGAAGGGTCTTTCTAGACTCCCTTACGATGAGCGTTTAAAACGCCTAAATCTTTTCCCCTTGTCGTATCGTAGGACACGAGGTGACCTTATACTGGCATTTCGTATCTTTAATTATGATTTGGGTGTTAATATGTCTTATCTTCTTGCTCCCTCCAGCACTAATAATCTCCGCGGTCATAGCAAGAAATTTCATAAACCAAGATCTAACAAACTTAAATTGGGGTCCTGTTTTTCTCATCGAGTAGTCAATGATTGGAACGCCTTACTCGAACAAGTGGTATCAGTCCCATCAGTGAATACTTTCAAAGAGAAGCTGGACCTTCACTGGAAAACAGTGGGTCAGGATTAATACAGGTTCATCAACCTACTATCCTCATTACTGAAGACTGGGTTGTTTATTCCGAAGGACTTTAGTTTGACGAGTAGCCTTTTGTGTGGGACCTTATCAAAGGCTTTCTTAAAGTGTAAGAATAGGACTGATACAATGAGTCCGCTGTCTCATTTCAGGGTTATATCATTCAGGTAGTCTACTAGGCATGTGTCGCATGATCTGGACCTAATAAATCCACGCTGGGAGGTCGAGACGAGATTATTAGTAAGTAGATGTTGGACTACAGCCGCCTTTATTTCTTTTTCCATCACTCTGGATACTATTAAAGTTATGTTTATGGGCCTGTAATTTTCAACATTTGCTTCAGGTCCTGTTTTAATTTTCGGAATGATATGTGTAGTTTCCCAGGCAGTAAGGTAACACGCTGTAGAGAGTGATATCGCGAATATTTTGAGAAGCAAAACACACATATCATCATTTCCACGTTTTAGCATGCTAGATGGAATACCATCTGGTCCATCAGTGTATGAGTGTTTCAATGTACTGATTGCTTTGGAGATATTTTGAACATTGAATTCTACATTAGTAATTTCACAGGGAGGTACTGTGATTGGTTCTGAATCATCGAACAATTTTTCGTTAGTTAGTGAGGAACAAAAGTGTTCACTAAATAATTCTGTGACAAGTTTTGGATCTTCGTATACTTGTTTGTCTTTAATGAACATGCTCCCTCTCGATTTAGAACGTTGAAGTTTATTTTGAAGGAGAATGGTGAGTGTAGAGGAGTTATTATTAAGTTCAACTGCACGGTTTTCCTGCGCGACTGCTTTTTGTATTCTTATTGCTTCTGTTTGGACAAATATTTGTCATCGTTACTAAAGAGGAAAAGTAATTAAAGTTGTGGAATCGAGTACAGTGTCTTTGAAGACGTCGTCTTGTACTGGCCGGTATATAGAGATATTTGAGGAACGTGGGTCTATAGTATTCTAAAGGTGCGATGTTGTTGATGTTGTGATAAAATATATTGGTTGATGTGTCGGTATTGTTTAAAGTAAAGAAAGTTCTCCAATCAGTGTTTCTTAGGTAATTGTGGAAGTTATTCCAATCAACCTTGCGACAGTTTCTACGAAGTGTTACGGTTTTACGTCTACCGGTTGTGGCTTTTATATGAAGGCTGCATATGATAATGTTATGATCATTACCTGGAAACTTTTTTCCAATATACAAAGTATTGAGGATGAGGCCATTGGTAAAGACTAAGTTCAAGATGTTTTGATGTCTGGTAGGGCCATTGACATACTGAGTCCATTGTCCAAGCTCTAGACATTCAATAAATGATTCATAACGTCTCGGCGCTTTGACTGGGAGCCAAGAAACTTCGGGCATATTGAAGTCACCACAAATAGGCTTGCCTGTGAATGGGAGGGATGATGCCAGTGTGAATACCTCCGATAATACTGCTATTTCATCTACTGATACGTTAGGTTGACGATAAACACAGCCGAGCAGTAAGCTGACGGAATTCAGTCTTACATGTTTCCCTATTCTGTATCGTGAGTCTTGTCTTATTATTGTTATTATTATCATCAGCTTTTTTCAATATTATATTTGTGGTAGTATATAGAATTCTCAGCGCAGTGTTTCAACAAGTTTCCGTTTCTTTCTTCTTGGTCGGTCCTGGCGATAGATATCGAGTGATCACCAGTTAGATGTTAGCAGTTCAGTAAATGAACATCTGAATAATGTGCATTATTTTCGTTGTATATTGCCAGCAACCACATTGTCTCTGATGACGATAATAATAATAATAATAAGACAAGACTCACGATACCGAATAGGGAAACACGTAAGATTGAACTCAACTACTCTATAAGTATCCCAAGAACGTTGAACGGGTTCTCCCCACTGCTATCATATAACTTGCCTTCAACACCTCGAAGTTGCGAAATGGGTGGTGGGCTTCAGCGTAACAAGCCTTCTTACACGCAGCCTAAAATCATTAATAACAATGGTAATAATAAGTTTCTCACTCCACACCCTATCTACATTCCCCAGGATCACAACTGTAATTACTCTCAGAAGGAAACTTTTCACACCCTTTAGCACTAAGTTATCACATAAAAACGGCTCGCATGTGTAATAACAGTCCCAACTCCTTCCAGTTACGCGCAGCAGACCTCTCTCACGCTAACGTAAATAGCCATAACAAAGGCTACCAGTCTGTGGAGATAAGTCTGACAAGCTTATCTTGTAAATAGTTTTAAATATTATTTGTATTTGTTTTGTCAATTTCTCACTGCATGTAAATCTATCATTAAATGATTGTACCTGTTGTTTAAGTAAATGACCTTGAAGACTTTTTCCGTTGTGATACTACATAGCGTGATATATCGTTGCTGGTTAACAAATACACTGCTTCTCTCACATTCCCCGTTCTTTTTTCATTCGAGATTGAGTTAACTATGATCTAAAATAAATATTATTTACATTCATAGACTGTGAGAGCGAATACACCATACCTTACTTTGGATTACACCACTGGGGAGTTATATCGATACGTTTGGAATTACCAAGCATCTGTAATTGTGGATTTATTGTACCAGATTAAAGCCAAATACGCATCATTTTGGGTGAACTTAAGTAAAGTCCCATTTTTATTGTGTTTGTAACATTTATAAATGTTTTTAAATCTTACCCACTTTGATTTAAGGGACCAGGAATTATCACTAGCTCTAATTTCGAAAATGTGTTTAAATACCAGGTAAATGAACGGTATATTTAGTTAACGCACCGTTCGGATTGTAACATTTAACTGATATATATTAATATTACTATTGTTTTTGATTAACTTTGTTGATACTTTTTGCGTTTGTATATCGTCTGGTCCACCACAAGTCTAACCATCAAGACTATTTTGCAAATAACCATACACTTCACAGTAGGCCTGTCCAAGAATTTTTCGGAATACGACTCCTAGTGACACCTCTGTTAAAGCATATAGCCCAAGTTATTTCAAACCACATGCAAACCATAAATTTGTTTCCTCCGTACAGTTTCCATCAGAGAGTACTCCGACCCTTTCCCCTTGGGTTAACTCCCCAATCAACTTCACTAGCTCATTTGATACATCTCCCACTAAGTCTAGCTATCAAAATACCGAGCTAATGAAGAACATTCAATCCCTCACTTCAAACTCATCTCACACTCGCGAGGGTTACGACGACTTTATCCGAGATACTCTCACCCATAGCAGTATTATAGGAGGTATTCACACTAGCATCATCCCTCCCATTCACAGGCGAGCTTATTTGTGGTGACTTCAATATGCCCGAAATTCCTTGGCTCCACTTGTTTTTAGTGCTTTCTAACTGCTTATATTGTCTGTAACACGGAGAAGACAGTAAATATGTATTCTCCACTTTGCTCAGTGTGCTTTTTCAGTAGTTGGTTTTTTCTTCCACTTTTCGACTGTTCATTAAAAAATTACTTGAAAGTCAATGGGAGTTACTAGTTGTATAAATGATGTAAATATCGATTGCACTGTCCTGACATTTATATAGTAGGTAAGTACCTCGAGCAAGGAAAAGTAAATGGGGTGTATGTATATGTGTAATAATCATGCTTTAGACATGGATTCAGTGAATGTATTTTCTAAATGTTACTTGAAACTACTGTGAGATTGGGTGAATGAATGAACAAAGCATTTGATTGTTGCACTGACCGACTGAAATTCAAATTGTATGGATGAAGTATCAGTTTCTTCAATAATGCAAAATACGTATTTTATAGAAGTTGGAATATTAGATATTCAGGTATTGCAGTGTCGGAGTTTTTAAATCCCACCCACTTTGATTTAAGGGACCAGGAATTATCACTAGCTCTAATTTCGAAAATGTGTTTAAATACCAGGTAAATGAACGGTATATTTAGTTAACGCACCGTTCGGATCTTTATAGATAATCATGTGTGCCATTACTCGCTTTTGTTTTTTACTGTATAGATATATTGACCTAGTGAATCACTACAATGCATTGTCTTATGATTCTCCAGTGTTTGCCAATCTAGTTTTTTGGCGTTGTCAACAGTTATGTCATGTGAAATATAGATGTGCACTATGGGGTGAACATCAACAAGTTTTAAATTCACCTCGTATTGTTTTAAATCAGGTTAGTTGTTAAGTCTGTTTTCTATTTGCTTTTTGTTTTGTTTTGTTTTGTTTTGTTTGACCTCTGGTCTCTATTTCTTCATTATTTGAATATGTCATGCTTATCTCAATTTAATTGTATGTTATTATTGGGTGTGTTGACATGAACTTGTAATGTGACATATATTCTAATAGTTCTATTCAGGTTCACAAGTTAAACCTAAAAATTCTGTGTATTACGACAGTTTTGATGAATTACTGTTGGGAATTAAGATCTCTATTCCTGTTGTCTTTTTCTTCACTATTTCCATCGGATCACATAAGTCTATGGTTATCTCTATGATGAAAAAAGATTCCATTGCTAGCCACTATTCATCTTTGCTTAAAATGCTTGAAAATTAATGACAATATCTAGGCAATCCATATAGGATGTATGTATATCAGAAGAGACTTAACATTTGCATTAGTTTTTGATGAAGTTTTGTTCTCTGAACTGGATGGTTTGGTCGTGGATCTTTCATCGTTCTTCTGAACGACATCATCAGCACAAATCTTCAGGTAGAAGTCACCTGAAGAAGTCTACCTGAAGTTTGTGCTGACAATGTGGTTCAGAAGAACGATGAATGCTCCACGACTAGACCATCCAGTTCAGAGGACGAAACTCCATCAAAATTGTCCACTTGAGCTACAAATCTTTTCCACCATCTCGAAATTGCATTAGTAAACTATTAATGAAAAGATCCAAACAAGCAATATGTATAAATTAAAATTAACTCCACTCCAAAAGGCAGTAGCTATCTGTACTTAGTAGTTAAGTGGATAACGGAATGGCATTTGAAGAGAACAGTACTGGGTTTGAGCTTCGGAGAGAAGATCAACTTGAATGAAAGTACACCGAAATGATAAGTGCTAGATCAGGAAAAACGCACTTCCTGGATTTCCCTGCTACCAACAAATTGCTTTATTTAGGCTAAATAAATCAATATTTGAGCTATTCAGTTTATTGTAACTCTTCTGAATATCAATCATTTTTAATGATTTCATTATTCCTTTATTACAGTCTACTGTCAGATGAATAAATAGTTGAATACATTATTACACGTTTAATGATTGAGATCATGAACCGAATGATGTTAGACCGCTGTTGAAAACCTAGAAGCACTGGCTGTCCGTTTCATTATATTATGGGACTCCTTAACAGTACGCATCCACGATCCCACTCGCGGGATTAGAACCCAGGGCCTTAGGTTTCTCTCTCTATATATATAAACTCATTTTTAAGTTGTATTTGTCAAGCTTTTCTCTTTTAATTCTACTGAATCAACCAATGAAAATAAAAGAAAAATATGTTTAAACAAAGACATTAATAATGATTGAATTAAAAGAAACATATTCAATGTTGAATAGGTTGCAATGTTAATGAATTCCGTTTGAGAGAAAACCTTTCGATCAAAATGAATTGAATCGATATTACTTATATTAATCATTATGAATAGAAGAAATGAGATGAAAATAATTGTGAAATAAATAAGTAACAAGTAAATAGTATTGAACTGGAATCGAACGGCATCATGAGACAAGCGATAACATGGAATCGTGAAGGGAAACATACAAGAAGAAGAAGAAGACGTTCGAAGAATACACTATGTCGGAACTTGGAAACAGACATGAAAAAAAAGAATAACAATTGAAAATAACTGGAAAGGATTCATCAAGACAAGGTTGGATTGAGAATGTTGCTGGGTGACTTATACTCTTCCATAAGGAGTAACGGACATAAATAAGTTAATAAGTTTTGGTTCAATGAAATAAATCTTTTTCTTCTATTTTTTCGTCTTGTGAAAGTGATTGGAAATACTTTTGAATGGTACTTTAATGAGTCGATTCGTTTATTGATTGATGTGCGTGTGTGTGTTTAACATTTCATTATGATTTTTATCAGGATATACTTGTGAATGAGAATTCATCGATTGTTTATTAACCAGTTTACAATGTTTATGCCAAATACTTAAAAGATCTGGTTCACATAAATATGGGTACTTTTTATAAAAAGTTGAATAACCACCATGTAATATATAAACAAATGGATATTTTAATGCAGGATATGAAGTGAAATGTAATAGTCTGTCATGATTACGTAAACGATAAAATAATTGTGATGCACGTTTTGTAGAAAATTCACAATATAATATAAATATAGTATGAGATGGTTTTGGTTTAATCAGTTGTTCCGTTGAGTATAATGAGTTACTTAAATCCATTTCAGTAGATTCAATAGATTGTTGTATTATACCAAAAAAATATTAATAAAGTTCAGGCCAATCTGATAAATAAATGGCAATATAAATATGTCCAGCATTCTATACGTGTGCATAAGGACAATCAATAACAACGAAATGTTTAGGATTCATTTTCAACTTTGATAAAGTGATCATTTTTTGTTGATTTTGAAGTTTATGTTTATATCTAAGGTCATGTAAACAACATTTTGATCTCTTATTACCTTTACCATTCAACTGTTCTTCATTAGGTCCAATAAATTCTGAAGATGATGAAGAAGAACAAGAAGAACAACATGATGATGATGATGATGAAGAGTTGGACGAAAAGGAATATGATAATGTACATACTGAATTTGGGAAAATAGGTGATTATTTTAAAATCATTGATTTCATCTCAATTAACCAATTTGCTAGTTGGTCTACTTCAATTGTTCGCCTTGGTGAATGTAAACTATTATTCAATGTCCAGAAATCATAATGATGAAGTGAATTCTGTTGAAAAAGAAATTGATAAAATAAACATTGAATTTTTATTGGTTAAAATGTGTCAGATAGAAATGCTGTTTGAATTTATTAGGACGACCCATGTGTGAACTCGAGGAAGCTATAGAAATCTTAAAAAAAGAGCTGAAGATATTCCATTCAATCAATGTTTTGAAGAATATTCCAGAATCCCTATGTGTAGCTTCCCTATTGGACAAATGCTAATAACCACCTGTATGCATATTCAAGAGCTATAATGATGATTTCGTCTTCACTAGAAACTATAAATACCTGACATTTTTGTACCATAATTGATGCTGTTTGAAAGAACATTTCTTTTCCTTGTCTTTTATTTTCTAACTTGCGACTTAGGAGAGTTTTAGCGTTCGACTGCTCAAATTGTACGCGATATAATAAGAAACTAAGCACAAGATATAACGGAAGTGATTTTAAGAGTGGACTCAAAGACGATGAATCAACGCTCCTTAAACATAGACTCAGTATGGATGAACCGACGTTTTGATATTGATATTAAATGCAGTAACTGAGTCTGTGTGTAAAGTTATGAAATATAGATTATCTAGTTACCAAGTTACATGCAAGGTTTAGGTTGGTTAGTGCTAAATGATGATTACTTCTAATTCCTAGCAGAAAGTAATCTATACCATTACTGATTGATGAATTGAGCCCTACAAATAGAATTTCAACTTATTGGGTAAGACTTTAGATATCTCATTATTCGAACATCACATAGTTCATAACTAAAAGTTATAACGGTAACTGTATTCAAGGCTTATCTAAATTTTTTCTTACTCTTTCTACTTTTTTATTCCTTATACACAGGTATTATTTTTTCTCATATCATTTTGCTCTGAGAGGTCTATGTCAAGAAACCGTTAAAGATCATGCAACGCTGAATACTTGTTCAAGTTTGAAACATTTTAGCGGTGTACATGAATGACTTAATCAGATATCATATTCAAGAATTTCACATTAAGAATGGATCATAAAGTCGAATTTTAATATTCTATGTACCTAAATTCAATCATCCCGCACTGTCATTCATATTCTTATTTAGATAATAATTAATGACTGGTTTCAAGAGATATTTCCTGGAGTTCTGGTGAGAAGCAGTGAGCAGTGGAGTTCAACCGGGTCTGTTGTGAGATAGTAACTCACTGAAGGCATTGGTGGATGTGTCACTGCATTTCGTGGATTGACTGAAGTTAGATATCGCGGGCGAGACTGTTTGGTCCTGAGTTCGAATTTCGCGAGGCGAGGTTGTGGATGGGCACTGCTGAGGGGTCCCACAATAGGACGAAACGGACGTCCAGTGGATCTAGATTTTCCATGGTGGTCTAGTTTCAATTGACTCATGATCTCAACTATTGAAATCTTTATTCTAGAACTAAAAGTTCATATTTATTCTTTATATATTCATAAGAAAATTTAATATTCGCACAAATTGAATATGAAACTTACTTCTTCTAAACAACCTTTGTTATTTGTTAGTGAGTTTGTAGAAAACATTTCCTCGTTAAATGAATCCATGTATTATGATGAGTAAGTTGAATCTATTCAACATTGAATCAATTGGATCAGGTCAAAGATATCTATCTGTAGATAATGGATACTATTTTAATAGTAGTATAAAACGTCTGTCTTCTTTTATTCCCTTTTCAGTGATATAAGTAAATTTCATCACAATAATGAAGATAAATTGATTAGATCATGTGTGTCATTTTTAAAAAGAAAATTTAATCGATCTATTAGCTTGATTATTACTTAAGAATAGCTATATATTAAATTAGAGAATAACAGACGTATATTTCATTGGTACTTGACTGGTAACTATAATTTGTAAAGATTGATGATGGCTAGCAGTGGAATGCATGATGCGTGTTTCGTCTTAATTGGGACTTGTCAGCTGAATGTATTTGTATTTGATAGGTGATGTTCAATTCATGCATGGAATCCAGTAGTGTTTGCTACAAATGTCATCACGTTATCGATTTAGCTAGTGAGTTCAGATAGCCATTAGCTTGTGCAGTAGGATGAAGCTTAAATGCATTTTGTATTGTTCATTTGAAACTTCGTGTGAATTTATGGTAGTATCGAAGTAATCCGCATAGAATGTACATGTGCTAATAAGAGACTGATCAATTGAAGTCTTAAACACCAAAGGGCAGATTCAAACAGACAATATAGAAGGAATTTACTAGTAACTAGTTGATAAGTGATCTCCTCGCATCTCATTAAATTCCTTATCTAGTACAAATAGAATCTATAGTAAGAAGGTAACTCTTTTAAAATGTTTGAAACATTAAAATAAATGTAAAAATGAATGGGATAATCGGTATTCCTTATTGGTTATATAACTCAATGATTCTGCCTACAGTCGACTGAATTATCTTGATAATTTGCCGTAAAAACACATTAACATCTAATGGGGTTTTTGCAGATATTATAGTCATTTCAATAGTTGAGATAATGAGTCACTCGACGCTAGACCACCATGGAAAACCCGGAAGCACTGAACGGTCGTTTCATCTCATTGTGGAACTCCTCAGCAATGCAAATCCTGACCTTGGTGTTGGTTGACAGTTGTTTTGAGTTCTAGATGTCCTTCAGTTGTAAATATACTGCTCTCGCTTTACCGGTTCGCGCTTTCACATCTGCATCCGATCCACCATGTTCATCAATGATGCTGCCCAAATATGTAAAGGTTTTCACATCATCCAAATCTTCTCCGTTAATTGTGATTGGATTGGTGCATGCTGTGTTGGTTCGGAGAATCTTTATTTTCCCTTTGTGTATATTGAGACATACTGCTGCTGAGTCTGCTGCTACACTAGTCGTTTTCTCCTGCATTTGTTGTTGCGATTACGATAGTAGGATCAGATCATCTGCAAAGTCTAGATCGTCCAGTTGCATCCTAGATGTCCACGGTATCCCGTGCTTCCCTTCAGATGTTGACGTCTTCATGATCCAGTCGATCACAAGGGGAAAGAGGAAGGGTGAGAGTAAGCAACCTTGCCTGACACCGGTCTTTACTTCGAACGAGTCTGTCACTTGTCCTCCGTGCACGATACAAATTATTCATCTTAACTAGCTAATATTCAGTTCGAATTCAGTATATTTTTTTAAAGTCAAAATATATACTCTATGTTATCCATTAATTGTCTCAGACTTTGTTGTTCCTTCATTTCCAATATCAATCACTCTTCGATTTTCTCAACCATCTGCCGTCAAGTTATTCCACTTTCGATTGATGATGCATACTATTTATATCTGTTGATATCAGTAGCACATACCACACTACGAATCAACACACTTACGTCAAAATTAATACCTTATATCTTGCTTTATTATTTGCTTGTATCTTCCCATTGCTGTTTAAGAATGAAATTGATTAGTCCCTTGTTATCATGTATGTATCCTGTGTGTACTGCCTCGATACTGTTTTAAGCAAAGATGGATGATGGTTATCGGTGGAATCTAGGCTCCGTGTTTCGTCCTATTCGACACTCGTCAGCTAGATTTACCTAACTGTTTTCAGAATAAATGAGTTTTCTCTGGTTTACAATAGCTATCTGAATAATATTAATCCATAGTGAAAATGATAGTTTAATTATTATCCATAAGTTGTTTACTAATCAAATCCAAGAATAAATTAAAGTTTGTTTTTCTTTTTATGTTTGTTAACATTCTGAAATATTGATAATAAGAGTTTAGTTCATAGATATTTTCCACTCAATTGAATGGATTATATCATATACAATTGTAGATATCCCTTTGAACTATTCATTGAAAGTGTACTAATCTAACATTAGACATACATTTTGTAATATGGTTTAATATTTATTTGATGTTCTTAGGTAATGAGATGGTGGGGAAGATTTGTAGCTGAGGTAGATGGTTTTGATGGAGTTTTGTTCTCTGAGTTGGATGGTTTGGTCGTGGAGCTTTCATCATCTATCTGAAGTTTGTGCTGATGATGTCGTTCAGAAGATTGATGAAAGCTCCACGACCACACCATCCAGCTCAGAGAACAAAACTCCGTCAAAAAATGTTCTTATGTGATGAATGGTCTTTGTAATTCATGTACATAAGTAGTTGATACCCTATAAATATCAAGTTTTATTGTAGACAGTCATAACTGTCGATGTTTCTTTCTTTGTATTGTTTTAGGAATTACATTTTATAATTAATCATATTGTATTAATTGATTTGTATCGGTTGTTTGAATCTTCGCATTGATGTGAAAGATTAGTAATTGACCAGTGTCTTTTAGTATATATACATCCTGTGCGAATTGTCTCAATACTGTCATTAGTCAGTCAGTCAGTTACAACGTAGGACCAGGCATATATATGCTTCAATCCAAGTCGCCATAACCTAATTAGCACATCAAGATGAACACCAAATTCATAAAGGTAGTTAATTAAGTTGTGGCAATATATAAAAGAAAGATTGCATAATTGTCTTGATGGTTA